TTTTTTTTTTTTTTTTGGAGAGGTTTTTGCTATAGGGAGTGTGCACTCTCCAGAAAGACAGAGAGAGACAGAGAGACAGAAAGTGAGAAATCACCCCCCCCCCTGGGGGGGGTATGGCCATGCTGCAATCCCTTCTCTTCCATTCTCCTCTCAGGATCTTGGGCACACATGCACACGTGCTCCACATGAGTTTTAGGCACCGAGTCCGGGACTCAAACCGCAGTTGACTATATGGGAGTCCAGTAACAGTCATTATGCTAATTGCTGGTCTCTAAATTTTGTGTCTTTTTAAAGGGATACTAGAATGAATATCACTGGAATTTAAATATCTTTGAATTATTTCTTTAAAAAACCCTTAATATTTATTAAAAACTATTATATGGAACTATAGTTTGTAGAACAGGGAAAATCTGCATTGCCCTACTGCTGAAGGAATGAGGGAGTCTGGAAGACTATGGATCCACAGACATGATTTTAAAACCACTAGATTAAGTGAATAACAATATTAACCCAGATCACCATATTTATGTTCATCTTTTCAGAGTCCTAAACAATTGCACGTAGACAACACATGTCATAAGATCACAAGTCTGCATTGTTCTATACTGATGCCTGAGAGTCTTTTCCTCAGTTTTAACATTTACTATAGATTTTTAGCTGTTTGCAAAAATGTTTTCCCATAGACCCAGTAAATAGTATTAATATAGGTCAAGATTTAGTTCCTGAGGTCAAAGATGCTAAGAAAATTCGATTATGACAGTGTTTTAAGAATTTACCCAGATTTTAATCTTTTTTAAAAAATGGAATTTAAAGATAGCTAATGCATAATAGCAAAGACAGATGGCACCTGGGGGGAAGTTATAGTCCTTGTAAACCCCCGTAAGGATGGTTTCAGTCAACTGCACATGTATGTGTGCAGGAAAACACTCAGATGTAATGGTCTTATGGTGAGTTATAGAAGGGAGAGGATAATTGTTTTACACACTTAGGTTAACTCAGCACTAAATTCTTGTGTGTGTGTGTGTCTTTTTTTTTTTTTTGGTCTAGTTAGGAATAAGAATAATGTTAATTTTAGTCTTATAAAGCTTTCTTCATACTTTATAATTTGTCATTTACTCTCAGTAGAGAACTCTACATTTAAATATAAAAAATAGAATTTGGATGTGGAATTAGAATGCTTTATACAATCACATAATGTGGTAATCAAAACACAGTTACATTGGATTTTGCTTTTATGTCACAGTTTAGACTTGTGCTGAGGTTAATGAATATAACAAAAACTCACAACAATGAAATTTCGAATACAAAGCCCTATGTCCTAAGTGGAAATAATAGTGACATGCAAGTGATAGGAGTTTTTTGGTCAACTTTTCAAGAAAATTTTTGCTCAAGTACTTTTTCATTCTACCTAGCAGTTACAGTTGACTGTAATGGATTTACAGAACAGAAAAAATATTTTTAGATTGAATATATTATATATTCTCTTGACATGAGATTCTGATTCTATCACCAGGGAAGAAGACCCATAGTGTACAAATCACAGAATTATTTGAATACTAGATTATTAATAATGTCCAGAGAAATTCCCTTGACAGTATAACATGGGTATAATTATCAGGCTCAGGAGCTAAAGAATACCAGAGGGAGGATGCGACGGTAGCATAGCAGTAACACAGCTGGATACATGTGGGAAGGTCTTGGGTTCGCGTTCTAAGGCCTCCTGATACGCTAGGTACACAAGTGCACGTGATCTGGGCCGGCTGAAGCTGGGCTGGTTTACAGCATGATGACCCTGTTGGGGGTTTCTGTCTTTTTCTCCTCTCTCATGAAATAAACAAACTTAAAAAAAAAAAGAGCATCAGGGTAGATTACTGCAAGTATTTTGAAATGTGAGTATACTGATACAGGAGGAGCACTTCATCAATGTTTATGCTTTATGTTGCTTACTGAGTTGTTGAAGTGTAACAGAATACTTTGCTTCAGGAAGATGGTGAGGACAGTCATGGGAACCAGGACAAATGGATGAAGAAGAAACTAAGAGGCAGACTGGTAACTGTAGAGGCCAATAGACTTTTCTTGGCTGGGTAAACATATTGTAGAACTGATTTTAAAATAGTTTTGCACATACTTGAACCCTATTTTGGAATTCTGCCTTGTTGCTGTTTGGGATAGCCAACTATTTTCTGCAAAACTTGA